AAAGAATAACCTAAAAATATTCATACCAATTATTATTTTAAAATGACTCAAAATATATCCCCGATCATATCTTCTATATTAATAGAGCTGTCGTAATAATATATAAAACTTTTTAAAACAACATCATATATACAAATGCCTTCGGAAAAAAAAAACAAATACTAACATAATCTATTGAAATTTACAATCTTTAAGTAATAAATAAAATGTTGTTCATTTACAAGACTCATGAATTTATCACATTTACCACCACTCAATCCAATAACAGAATATAATTATAAACACATTCACCATATTTCCAATTCACTCTATCCCCCTATCCCCATGTAATAAATATCTCAAGCCAAAAAAATAAAAAATACTAATATAACGCAATTAAATTCACAATCTTTAAGTGATAAATAAAATCAACCAAATCTTACTCATTTATAAAACTCATTAATTTATCACCACTAACACCATTCAACCCCAAATGACACAATAAAATTATAAATTTAATTACCAAATTTTCAATCCTCCATATATATATATACACAAAAACATACTCTCTCACATTTATTTTTTGGCTAGCAACAAACCTTCCTAACCAATAATTTTTTTTATTAGAAATATAATAATTCAAGTTCTTATGATAAAATAATAACAAATTAATATCTAATTAAAAAATAAGGTAAAAAATACGGACTTCTCCAGAGTTTTGACAATATTATGCGGACACTCCTTGATATTTTATAAATAACATGGAGATCCCTGGAGTTTAAAATTTATTACACAGAGACCCCTTCTGTCTCCCTTCCTTTAATATTGCTAACGGAAAGTGATGATTTTATCCCAAAAAAAAATTATTATTTTTATAATTGCCTTTCTCCAACTTTAGTATCCAAAAAATTAAAAATTTAATAAAATAAAATAAGATTTGATTTAGTACCCAAAAAATTGATATAATTTAGTGCCCCAAAAAATTGATTAAATGAATTTTAATATTAATTTGATAACAATAAAAACTAATTTGATATTAATTCAACAAAGTTGAATATAAATTGGACAAAATTAAATATCAATTTTTGATAAAAATATATATTAATTTACAATTTAAGGTTCATTTCGTGTTGAATATTATTTGTTGTTGATTAAACCAACATGAAATTGACCTTAAATTATAAATTTTTTTGTTGTATATAAACTTAAAAATTTGCATTTTAACCCATAAAATTTAAATACATATTTTTTTATAGCATTGCGTATTCTCTCTTACTATATCATTTGATAAATTTTTTTTTGGTCAAGATTCGACCACACATACTTAAATCAAATCAATTGTTCACCCCCACTTTTTTTTAAGAGAATCGCTCACCTCCATTTGTTAAACTCAAAAATCTCTAGTTTATATGAAAATAAGTGAAAGTAAATTAAAAAACTTAGTACCAAAATTATGACAAATAGAGCAAACATTAAAAAAACTAAAAAAATAATCTATAAAAAAACCATTATCAATGAGAATTTTAGAGGAATTTAGGCCCGGAATCAATTAAGACATAATTTCAAGCAAAGATGTAAAACTCAGATAAAAAAAATCCTCAAATCATTAAAAATGTGTGCTATTTTTTATTTACATTAAGTGTTATTTAAAAATTAAGAAGTAAGTGACAAAATACATGTTGTCAGATATATAAAATTTTGAATTAATTTTGTGGACTAAATAATTGCATAACATGTAGTTTTCATATGTTTTATGGAGTAAAAAATAAAAAAATATCACTTGGAAAACAGAAAAAATAAGATAATAATATGAGAGAGAAAGAGAGAGAAAAAAAAAGCATAAGATAGATATAAAGAGAGTTAGGTAAGCGATAGGAGTCTTAAAAAAATTTGGCATGAGAACCGTCAGATCAATAATCGTCAAGCGATCTAAGCCACGAAAAGTTAAAGACAAAGAAGTATAGCTACTTTATTATATAGATTATTTACTCAATTAAGTTCAATTTTAATAAAATATTTTGTGATTGCGTACAAAATTCAAAATGATATTTTATTTATTTGACTTACTTACCCTTCTTTAAATTATACATAATTTTTATTTTTCACTCTCTCCCCCAATTTCTCACGTCATTACTCTCTATCTCTCCATTAGTCTCTCTCCTATTTTCTCTCTCTCTTTCTCTCACTCTCTATCCCCCTATTTTCTCCCACAATTACTCTCTTTTCTCTCTATCTTTATATCAACGTTACAACACACAATTACACCAATCAGTTATAATTACCCTATAATACACCAAGCAATTATTCATATATTCTAATAAACTAAACAGTTACATCAAATAAATACACAAAATTATGATACCAATCAAATTTATCATTCAATTATTTACATAAAATTAAAGAGTTATACCATTAGTATCACGATAATTATATCAATTATATATACTAAATTTGGTGTAATGGTAAACTCTTTTGTGTAATGATAAACTTAATTTGGTGTAACCATATTGTGATACTAAATGATGTAATTTTTTGATTTATATAATAACTGAATAAAAAATTAAGTTAATTTTGTAATTTCATGTAATTGTTTGGTGTAACTGTTTGATTTTATTAGAACACCTGAATAACTGTTTGGTATATTCTAGGGCAATTGTAACTAATTAATATAACTTATTGGTATAATTGTGTTGTTGTAATATTAATATAAGGAGAGAGAGAGAGAGAGAGAGAATAATGGTAACAAAAAATAGGAGAGAGAGATATGAGAAAATCAAATCAAATCTTTATATATTTAAAAAATTTATCAATAGGAGAAAAAGAGAAAATAGGGAATGGATAAAGAGAGAAACAAAGAGAGATAGAGAAAATAGGGAAGAGAGAGAGAGTAATGGAATAATGAATGGTATTTTAGTATTTTTTTAAAAAAAATACACTTAGAACCAAATAAATTTTCTTAATATAATTTAATTCAATGAAATCCAAATTTTTATACTAACTTTCAAATTTTTCTGGTCCAAATTCCTTCATGGACAGCATCTAATGGGTCCTTAGAGGGCTATCCATTGTGGTGGTGGGCTAATGAACCTATTTTTTCAGAACAAATTGACAGGGCAATCAAAATCTTTTTAAATTTTAAACAAACTAATGGATCGTTTGGCTGACCAAACGAAAGCCTATGACAATATGTTCATATCACCAACGTCTGTCTTAATCTTTCACTCAAATTTAAATTTGAGCCAAAAAAAATTTAAAAATTTATTCAAACATTTGACTCAAACTTATTCCAAATTAAGAGAGACTCATTTTTTTTATTTAAATCAATGAAAACTCAAATCTTTATCCAAATATTTAATTGTAAAATTTCGCCCTTTTTTATAGATTCAATGATCATCTTTACTTTATTTTAAATTTAGGTTTATCCTTATTTAAATTTGAGTATTTCTTTCTTTAAAGTTGAGTTTGTCAATTGGACCTCTTTGTATCAAATCAAATTTTTTACTCACAAATTAATTTAAATTTAAATAAAAATTTGAATTATAGTTGGAGATGCTCTAAGAGCATCTCTAACTCAAACTCTAATTAAGACTTAAATTCTATACCAATTTTTCTACCGTAAATTTTTACTTTATCCAAAGTCCAAAAGACTTATTTGATGAGTTATTCTCTATCTCTTCGTGTCTTTCTCTTCTATGTTGTTTCCATCGCCAACTATTACCAAACCATTCCCGGATCCTTGGAAGATCTGTAGGTAAACTTATTCATTTTCATCTTCTATCTTTTTAATTTTTATATTTTTTAAAACTCTAATCACACTCATCTTTCATACTATATAAACCTTAAGTTTACTCATCAAATTTTTCTGTGATTTTTTTTAGTTAAATAATGTTGGTAGTGTAATTTTAGACCATCGATTCTTCCTAAAAATTTAAGGCTTCATTATCTACTATTTTATAAAATTAGTCATTTTATTTCTCTGATCATTCATTTTTGTTGAAAACGATCTCCTTTTTGTGTTCCTTAGACCAAACCATGTCAAAGTAATTCATTTTTTTTTCTTTTTCTTTATTTGGATTTACATAAGAAGATAAGGAATTAGAACATTTTGAGAAGTGTGGGATAGTTTTTTTTTTTTGTTCCCGAGTAGTGTTGTATCATTTATTTTTGGAGAGTTCATTTATATTCAATTTTTTTTTTTTGAGTTACTCATTTGTAGAGATATATGAAAGTTTCATTTATTTTTTCATTTCATGATTTGAATGATAACAAAAATGAGTTCTGAGACAATAAGAGAATTTTTTTAAAAAATTGAGTAGATATTTGAGTTTGTTGTTTTGCTCAAATTTGAATCTAAATTTGAGTCATAGTTGAAGATGCTCTAAGATTATCTTCAAAAGATTCAAATTTGAGTAAAAAATTTGATTTAGTACGAGTCTCTCCAATTGATAAATCTATTTTTTGTACTCAAAATCTTTTTAAAATTCTTATCTTATCTCAAACACTCTAATACTAGTTGCAACGGATATGTAATAAAAAGTTTGAATCTTTCAAATCTCTGATTCAATTTTCTCTCAAAAAGTAAGAAAAATCGAAAGGTTTTCTTGTAGCGATATTATCAAAATATCATGTTGGCTAAAATCAGAACTAAAATTTAAAGTATTGGTCAATATTGAATCATATTTAAACTTATTGAATCATATTTAATATTTTTTTAATTAATACCATTATACATAAATCTTTCACTGGACTTACCACCACTGAATCATAACCTTTTAGCAAAATTCTCTTCTTTTGACTTCCCGACCCCCAATCCACGAGCTTTAGACGAGACACAAGACGTCATCGTCGTTCCAGCTTCCCCGGCCGGAGATCTCCAATGCCGGTGAGACCTAGCACCTATACTCAGACACACACACACACAAAACTATATATATATATATATATATATATATATATATATATTTTTTTATTTTTTTTTTTTTTTTTTTTACAAAAATNAGTGTAGTTACGATTTGATTTTAATCATTTCAATTGTTATTGTTCTAAATGTCGATGACTTGAAATTAGGGTTAGCCGTAACGAATTGATATTTTCATCATCATCTTCATGGTAAAAGTAAAACCTTCATATGCAACCTATCTGTACATTTGTGTGCAATCCAATTTTTGGAACCCTAATAATTTGTATTGATAGTCTTACCAGATTTATTTTAGTTTTGAATTATTTTTTAAAAATTAATCTGCTGATTTTAATTACAGAAAAACTTTATTCCGAATCCTAATAACATGCACAAAGTGGCTTTCTTCATATTCAAAATCACAACTTGCTTAATTACAAACCCAAAGTGCTGGCATAATAAACCATTATTAATCATCTTCTTTAATTGTGCTCTAGCAAGTGCATTTTTTTTGGTTTGAGTAGGCTAGCCTAGAATATTACTTTAGTAGCAATAATTTGTAGTTGAAGACACTGTGTAATAAACTCTGACCGTCCAAAAGATCAATCCCACTATATCAAAATAAAAATATGAAATCACATAATTTGAATTAATTTCTATTCTACCCATTACTTTTTAAAACAAAAATCGACAATTTTCTCAAAAAATATCAATATGTGTACACTATTGTATGTATGTGGGGGGATAAAATTTAAATCCCTAACTCTCTTATTATATAAATTTCTCAATATTGACATGTTACTCTCTTGCATCGTTCAATAAAAGTCTCGTTATATCCATCATTCTCATCATGATTGTTCATTGTTTGATACCAAAATGAAATGCCCTCTTGTTGGTTTTGCTTTTGCCCATTTTTCTATCTCATATGTCTAACTCTTTTGGGGTTATTTTCCGTTTTAAATTGCTATTTTACACACATTAAACAGCTAACTTTGTCATTATAACTGTTGCAGTAGGGGTGCTTTGAACAGCAAATTCATATACACAAACATACATGGCGTCCTTCCGAGCATTTTTGAACAGTCCTGTTGGCCCCAAAACAACTCATTTCTGGGGTCCTGTAGCCAACTGGGGATTTGTGGCTGCCGTATGGTTCTCTATTAGAGCTAAATGATTTGTTAACTTGCTGCATAAGTACTTCTTGCAGACCTTGCAAATTTAAAATTGTTTGCTTTGTGGCAAAGTTATACTTTTGAAATCATATTTGATGGATTTGGCAGGGGCTGGTGGACATGCAAAAACCCCCAGAAATGATATCTGGCAACATGACTGCAGGTTGCATACATCTAACTCAAAAGGAAGCTGGACTTTGATGATTCAGATTCTAATTTATTTTCTTTTTATTGCTGCAGCAATGTGTGTGTATTCCGCTTTATTCATGAGATTTGCATGGATGGTACAGCCTCGCAACTATCTACTTTTAGCATGCCATGCCTCAAATGAGTCGGTGCAGCTATATCAGCTCTCCCGTTGGGCAAAGGGTCAGGGGTACGTAAGTGAAGATGTTGTTTCAGTTGCATATCTGAGTGTATTTTGTTCATTTGGTGTCTGATTATCGTTTCAGTGTTATGGCCATCTTTCTTTTTTCACAATCGAATTAAAACCCTTCCCTCTCTCCAAACTTTTCTTGGCTCTGTGTAGAACCTAAAAAAGACAAATGCATAGACTATTTGACAAAATATTTTACTGGGCCATAAAATTGGTTGCATATAATCCGATGACTCACCATACGTTGAGAAAAAAACAGTTGTTTTACCAGATCTCACGTTTTTAACCTCTTGATTGGCTTCAGGAGAAGAGGAAGGGGAAAATTCCAAGGACATTATATTTTTTGTTTCCTATTTACATTTCTTGAATTTATTGTTTTACGCTTTTTACTGAAAAAGTATAGATAATTCTAAGCTAAAATTTAGATAAGAATGTGACAGTTTAGAACTTCCTTCCCTTTTGTAACTGGTGTCTTTTGGGAGATTCCTTATTGTTAATCTACACATATGGTCAGATATCCATCTAAGCATGCGTGCGTGAACATATCAGAAGTTTGAATGCAATCGCACACCTCCTTGGCTATATTCACTGCCTAACTTCTATCAAGTTCTTTTCTAGTCAGAAGTTGGCCACCTTAGAATTGTGCATCTTGAGCAAGCTCTCACACCTTTTGAGGGCTTTTTTATACCTTTCTTGATTACCATATCTGCTTGTCTGGACGCATACTCTGTGGAAGCATACTACGCCATGGAATTGATTTTTATACCCTTGTTTCCTCTATCATAGGTACTTGCAGCAGAAGGAAGAGAAACCCTTATCTGAGTGATGCTGTGCTACTGTTCTTTTGCTTTCCTGGGATCTGTAATCTTTTGGTGGTTTTTGCAGAAATGATCATTATCTTTGTATGAAAAAATTGTGTAATAAATACACACAAGATTGTGCTCATTTTGTAGCAATAACAACTAATCACCATTATGCGTTCTCAACTTATAAGAAACTTACAGCTTGAAGATCAGAATTGTTCGCAATGAANTCGGTGGTTTTTGCAGAAATGATCATTATCTTTGTATGAAAAAATTGTGTAATCTCATTTTGTAGCAATAACAACTAATCACCATAACGCGTTCTCAACTTATAAGAAACTTACAGCTTGAAGATCAGAATTGTTCGCAATGAAAAAGGTTGCTTTCTAATTTTTGAATCTGGTTTCTGAGGGCCTTACTGCTTTCAAGTTCTAGATTCAAATTGTTTTTTCATTGCTCATGTTCCATACTGGCTCCTATAGACTGCGTGGCTAGAGAACTTATATCAATCCCCATTTCTGCAAATCAACATGGAAGTGGCTCATCTGGAGCTATAACTATACCTAAAAATTCTTGCACTGACTACTTCTTGCATAGTATCTGGTTTTCTTCATGATCAGTTTGTGAAATCTAGAGTCAATGATTCAGCCGGATCCAGCCCTGTGCTCGTTGATTATACTAGACCAAATCACAGGAGGCCAAGTGGTTTATAAGCTAGATAGTGCTGATTCGGACGTATAAAGGCACATTTCATTCTTCACAATGGCTGCTTCATTATTTCTACACAGCAAGATTGGTTACATAGCTCGGATAACAATTTCACCTTTGTAGGAATAACCAATCCTTCATACATTTTTAGTACTGTATAAAAAAACGACATTGACATAGCAGTTTGAAACCAGGAGGCTATGTACAATACGTTTACAAAATGGATTTGCCAAATATAATTTTATTATTTGGGACGATAACAAAAAACAAAAATAAATGAAGAAAAGAGAAGACAAGCAATCTGATCTTGCCCACCTGCTTCATTTTGCAAGGTTACAGTTAGACACTCTTTGCTAACTACCCCCTTGAAAACTCAAAATTATCAGCTCCTTTACCCAAGATGATGTGGCGCAGCAGCCGGCTATGCTTGTGTCCTGACCTTTTTTGGTGCATTATGTTCCCCGTATGAATTGTCAAACGTCGGCCAAGCCAAACAAGTGAAAACTCAACACTGTTAACCAGATCATGATGCATCAGTGCTCTCTCCTTTTGGCTTCTTGCTTTTTTTCTTGGATTTGAGCTTCTTACTCTCATTGTGCTCCTTAGATGCCTTTTTCCGTTTAACAGGCAACATATTTTCTTCATCTCTATCTTCCATCTCAGTCACGGTATGCGTTTCACTTGGTGATAGACGTGTTGCAGTACCAATAATTTCTGTTTAAGGAAGCTAACATGTAAGATCTTTGCAAACCAAAATGAGAACTTAAATGTGGCACTGAAAGGTCACAAGATTGTTAATTTGAAGCAACCTAACCACCACTGCAGAAAAGCACACCACAGAACAAGGGGGTGAAAGTGTATAATCATAATTGTAGCCTCAAGTTTAGACAGTTCTACATTGTCAGGGAAAAAAAGGAAATAAAATAAATGTTTATCGTAACCTAGACAAAATCAACCCCCCCCAAAAAAAAAAGTGACTTTCTTCCAACGAGAGAGAGAGAGACACATGCAAACCAGTACCATGTCTAGAAAATGGCAGGATTTGTAGCCCTTTTTTCTTTTGACGTTGAAAAGTTCAGCATTCATATGAAGTCGAAGAAAAGAATAATTTCCTGAAGGACTTTGTAAGTGGCAAATAAACTATAAATGACATTGGTCTCAAAATAGGTGGGTAAAATAACCCACTGACAACTCTTTGCTCCAATAAAGCAGCCAGCTATTGTGACAAATGACAAAACTGATAAAATGACTCTCAATTATGTCATATCAAGCATTTTCCCTTTCCTAGATAAATAATCTTAAAGGAGGACGCAAGATCATATAGAAGAAATGATCCAGCTGACAATGATAGCAACTAGGCACTCCTCGGAAACAATATATTTATAGTGCTATACATGGCATTAAATGTCTGTTCTAATCAACAAAATACACTAGTACACTAATGACTCCAATTCATAATCCAAATATTAGTACATTTTTGCTTGAAGGTCCCACACTGAACGGTGAAGAAATTTTACTTTTTGTAAAGCAACAATGAAGCTAAAACATGGAGAACTACTGTCTTATAGTTCTAGAGGGGAAGTTGCAAACCATCAACTCAAAAAACGGCAGTATTGCGTGGCTATATGGTTTAAAATAGGCATTTTTGAAGTAAACATACTTTGGTCTCCTAATGATAACATTGTGCCCATCACTCAGTTGATCAAGAGAACAAATCCAGCACTTGCAACTAGCAGACAAATTCAAATGAGCTAAGTAAGCCTTCACCATTCTGGTTGAACCACAGCATTATACGTTCCAGATAAAACTGGTCTGTTACCGTTTTTCCTATATTTTTAGTTATGACTCCAACTTTTGCAACGACTCCCCTTTGGGTATTCAATAACTAAAATTTTCAGTTATTTGATTGATGACTCCAGCTTTCACAAACTCTAATTTGTTGCTAATACAAACTTGTTTGGCATAAGAAAAATATATTCAAAATATAAAAAGTAATACATCCAGGACGAGCAGTTTGGGACAAGGCTTTGTTGAGTTGAGTTTATCAAAGACGAGCAGACCCAAGCTAAATGGACATAATGAGCCTGGTAAATTACTACTATGAATACAAGTAAAAAACCCATGCAAATATTCCCCTTGTGGCTAATTCCTCAATCAGGGAAATCCTTTGCTTTAAAGCAAACTACCAAAAGGGCATTACACACAAACAAAAGGAAAAACTAACCTTCATCGCTAAAATGAGAATCGAAAACAACATTTGTGAGCTGCTGCTTCAGAAACACCTGCATTCATATTTTAAGACAGCTAAAATAGTTTAAATGGTTAAACTCAGTAACATGGCAACTTTGTGCATCCAATACTTAGGTAGCTACTCATTAAAACTGAGGCAAGATTCTTTAAAGACTAAACACAAGTATATGCCTTAACCACAATTATATGATTTTAGGATTGCCACAAGACTAGTGGACCCTATCTAAGCTTATTGTAAGACAGGCTTAACATTCACAAGTGCAGTACAATCCTTCTAACATCAATCTTCTAAAGCACAATAGAGTCAGTGAAACATATACAGTACATATAACTATTGGTAGCAGGAGCCTGGTATCATACCGCAGAAAGAAGTTGCCGCGACTTTATATCCCAAACACGTAAAAAGCTGTCCAGTCCTAGTAAAAACATCAAATTTTTAATTCAGCAGTTGTGACTTGTGAGAGAGAAATTAGAAGTTGGCACCTAATCGTTATGAGAGTTCATGCAGATTTGCAACCTTTGACCCGCAGATGCATTAGATGTAAGATGTCAACTTGGGCACCATACTTTTTGTACCAAAATTAAAATGAAGAAAATAAGACGGAAGAATTAGAGTAATACAAGGTTAAATCTATTTGAATCTGTGGAACTGACTTGACCATCATACAAGAAGTGCTTTTTATTCCGTCGTAGAGATTAAATTGACATTCAGCACAAAATGAACACATCAATTTTCCCCCAAAACAAGGGACATCATCGCATATTGAACAAGTCATGTCCTGTGCATGTTGAAATTTCTACCATAACACTTACCACATGAGACTATCACTGGGTGCTCTGGGTGCCTGGCAATGGATCTTATACTCCCAGAACATTTCCCCAAAAAGCATCCCAACAGTTTCCCTGTGTTAATTAAAAAAGCGAGTGCTTAAATGGCAGGCTCACAATTCACCATATACATAGACTTCAGAATGACAAATCTCAAAAAATAAGTAAGCCACAATTAATTTTAGACCAACTCTCTTCAGATACCACAAGTCCAAAGACATAAAAGAGAGAAGAAGTTTCTCAAGAGAGAGACTATTGTTACACATAATTCAGTTAAACAAGGCATGCTAAAGCAGTGTGAAACTCACAGATGATATAGAACAGAATTCATGTGAAGTATGGAAGGGCAATTGACAATGTGAAATAAACTTGTAACAAAATAGCATAAGTGATCATTCTGGTAAGGTTTTCTAAGCATACATACAATCACAATGTGGATGTGGTAAACAGCATTCAACATCAAAAACTTGCTGAAAACCTTATAAATGAGTGACACTCAAGAATCAAGATACATATTTAAATGTAGGACCAACTTCCCTTTACCTCCCTATGGTATGCCCCAAATGCACTTTACTTTAAGTTTTAAAAATGTCAACATAACACTCACATGGTTTGTGGACTAAATTGCAAAGTTACATTTTCCACCCAATTTAACGTTTCGTGTGAGCCACGCACCAAAAAAGAGAGTTGGTGTAAAAATAGATTTTAAAAGGACAAAACTACCCCACCTAAACACCGAGTCTCTCTCTCTCTCACACACACACACTTTAGACATTACTGCAACCATCTGGCAACAAGTCCAAACCTTACTTTTCTCTTCATGTTTTGCTTTTCTCTAGTGAGTCCACTATCAGCAGCCACTTCTCCTTAGTGAGGCTCTAATCATGAAGTGAACAAAAATTCTGGAAGTTGAAATAGAAGAAGAAGAAGACACTTGTTGCAGGGACCAGATAAAGGTTGCAATGATGCTGGTTATTGATGAAACAAATGGCCAAGGTTCGGGTGTCAATAGTGTCAAGTTGTGGTTTAAATATTTAATAAACTGAAAGTGAAAGACGAAGCTTTTACAACTAGAAGGGCAGGAGGATCAAATTAGTCATCTGGGTGCACTTCACTCAGACCTATTGCCTTCATTACCAGCTGACTTTTCTGTAATGTTGAATTTTTTTTCAAAAAATCTGTAATGTTGAAAATTACCAGCTGAATTTTCTGTAATGTTGAAAAATCTTCATGACTTTTCAACAAATTTTCTATCTTCCGAAAAATTAAAGCTGGAAATTTCTGAGAATGACGAGATATTTCATCAAAATCTATTAAAACAGTGTTTGTTGTGTTGTATCGTCCTTCATGGTCGATGGTGGTGGGTTTTAGAGAGAGAATGACGAGATGTTGTAGATAGGTCGGCTGGAGGAGAAGGGGTGAGAGTTTACAGAGGTTGGAGGAGAAAGATGGGTAGGAACGTCATTTTAGATTTTCCGTTAACTGAGTTAGCATTGGGATTCAGTCCACAAACCATGTGAGGGTTATGTGGACATTTTTAAAACTCAAGAGAGTAAAATGCATTTGGAGCAAACCACGAGGAGGTAAAGTGAAGTTTGCCCTTAAATGTATTAGGCAGCAGATTTGAACTATAAAGGAAAATGAACATAGTTTGCTTGGAGTACATTCCATTGGATACTTTTCCAAACAAAAACAGCTTGACTTGATATTATGAAGAACATACAACTGGCCCCGTTCACCATTCAATATCCAAAAGTTGAAAATAAGGAAAAATATGAGGTAAATGTGCAGTAATGTCTTATGTAGCATGATGCAAAATATAATTTAGTTTTCATAAGCAGGGCAGCACAATCTTTGAGGTTTCAAATCTAACACCTATAGGTATTAATTATAGGCAGGTCCCTCGACTGGTCAGTAGGGCTATTAAATGAACCAAGTAGCTGGGGCGCTCGGCTCCTTTTTGGTTCACTCGAGTTCTCCCATATTACAAAATGAGTCGAATGTAAACAAATTTTTAGGCTCGTTTTGCATCCAAGCCAAGCCCAAGCTATTTGCAAGCAAGCTCATTTTTATTTCCTATACAAAATATCCTTGTAAATTATTAAGAACTTCAAGGTCACTTTAGTAAAACTAACAAAATTATAATCTATTTACACAATTCATCAACTCACATCAATACCTATCCAACACAACATAAGGGTGCCATTGACAGACTCATCACGTGGCCACCTCCCCTCTCTCCCGGTCTCCCCCTTCCCCTTGAGCAACAAACCCTTTAGTGCATATCCCCTTCTTTTTAGTCTCTCTCTCTCCCTACAATTTTTCTTTTTCTCCTTCACCCCTATCTCTCATTCTCCATAAACCCTTGCCTCTCTCGAGCTCTCTCTCAAACTCTGCTTGTTCTCTGTCTCAGTCTTTGTTTCTCACGATAACCCTCCAGATTTTAAACTTCACCACCCTTAACCTAAACCTAGTTCAAATCATTGACACCTAATCCCACTAAGTTGTTAAGGGTTGTACCAAGGTGCATAAATATATGTTTGTACATCCTATTTATAACTTTTGTTGTAATTTAGAATTTTTCGAGGCTAGGGTTTTTATTTTAGATTCATCTTTTTGTGAAATTTATGGCTCTGGGATGCTATTTTTCTTGAATTAGTGATTAAGAATTTGAAATTTGCAGATTTGTGGATTTAGAGTTTGTGGATTTGGGATTTATTTTCGGAGCTCATTTTTGGCACAAGCTTGGCTCAGCTGAAGCTTGTACCTAACCAAGCTTGCGCAATAATTTAGGCTCAGTGTCCGAGCCCGAGCCGATCTTGAACAAACCAAAGGTCGGTAGGCTCGCTCAACACCCCTAACTAGTCACTTTTTCCCAACTCAGAATATTTTTAACATATTCTCAAAAACTAATCATGCTTTTTAACTGCTACACTAACTACAATTGCGAATTTAAAATGCAGAATCTGTGTTAAGCATTTCAATACAGCAGTGTATACTTCACATCACAAAGCCAAAAAGTAGATGGGAAAATTTCAAAATCAGGTCAATACATGTTGACAGTACTGTATACCTGTGCGCATGTCAACAGAAGCAAGGTCACCAGACCCATTCCCTATATATACAGTCTGACCATCCAAGTCTTCAGCAACTGCTTTAATGGTGGTCTCTCGAAAATCAAATGACATAACGGGTCTTCTCTGAGCAGAAATATCATAGAGACGCACCTGCAGACAATAATCAGGTTAAACCTCTCTGAATTAACTGATGTTTTTTGATGAACTTACTGAAGATACTAGTGACCAAACACACTCACAAATGAAAGTGTGTCCACGAATGGAACTGCAAATTTTTGGTCTTATGTGAAGTTAAGCATGTGAGAATGACTGGATTTCGGACAAAGATTCAGCAACCATGCTTTAATTATTAACACTTTTCATGGCAAACTTATTTGATGCTAATGCAGTCGTCTTAGGGGAGATGAGAAAAAACCGGAACCAAAAAAAAATTCAGACCACAATTACATCTCCTTAAAGAAGCTTGCCCAAAAAAAATTTTATATTCTCTTTTTTTTTTTCACCCAAATTCGTTATCATTTATATCAAAACGATCTCCCCTAATTCAGATTAGACATATTTATCTTTAGTGATTTTCTTCCAACAA